GTACAGTGGGGGAACAAAGACCAAGGTAGTTATAGTATTCTTTCTATGCTTTATTTACTATGCTTTCTCAAAAACCCTCTCTCTCCCTTCCCTCGACTTCCATGTGTTTTCCCACACGTGACCGTTACGTCACGAACACTACATCCCTCTTTTACGTGAACATGCTTAACTACTCTCCATAGCTTAAATAGACATTTGTCCAACAAGCGTCATTAAACATCAACTCTAAATTTAACAAGACCTTTTGTCCAACAAACGGCATTGAACATCAAACTACAATTAACAATATCAAAGTTTGCTACTATGAGTTTTTTGACTCAATGGTCCTCTGTTCCTCACTGGCTGTTACTATTTAAATCACAGGTACTCCGGGGGTTGTCGTAAACGTTGGGGCCTTGACTGTACTGTTGACGTAACCGGTTGGTTTTGTTTCCCTTCAGCTTCTACTGGGCACCCAATTCCATCTTCGGATGGTATTTTGCGAACTGCTGACGAAGTCCTCATTATCTCAGGCTCGCTTCGTCTCTTTAGAAGTAAACTTGTTCCTTTTGTTCCAACCACTGTGTATGGGTCTGGGTCATATCTTGTTGACAATTTATTCTTTCGTTCTTGTTTGAGAAGAACTTTGTCGCCCCTCTTTATGTTGGCAGGTACTGAGTGTCTTTTCTCATCCGCATACTGCTTCATCTTTTCTTTCCGACATCGATCACGCTCAAGGATGGTGGGGTCAACATTTATCTGTGAATTCGACAAAATGGTGGTTGCGCCCGACGGCAGTTTAGTGCGTATCTCTCGTCCAAACAGTAGAACGGCGGGCGATTTGCCAGTAGTGCAATGGGCTGTCGCTCGGTAGTTAAGTAAAAAGGTGTCAATCTCGCCTTTCCAATCTTTCCCTTCAGTATGTGCTGCGCGAATCACTTTCTCTAGGGTGTGATTGAATCTTTCGACCTCAGAATTGGCTTGCGGCCAGTAAGGTGTTACTCGACGGTGTTTGATGCCATGCTCACTAAGATATGAATCGAATTCCTCAGCCACGAACTGGGGTCCATTGTCTGTAACGATTTCCTCAGGGAGGCCATGCACCGCAAAGCAAGACTTCAAGCATTTGATTATTACTGCTGCAGTTGTGCTCTTCAAAATGAAAACTTCTGGCCAGCGCGTACACAAATCAACCACAACCAGAAGCGACTCACCGGTCGGGAAGGGGCCACATAAATCAGCATGTAAGACGGTCCACGGTCGTGAAGGCATTTCTGTCATAGTAAGTGGCTCTGGATGTGACTGAGAGGACTGGGCTTGACAGGAGATACAGGAACGAATTAAATGTTCGATTTCTTTGTCAATTATAGGCCACCAAACTTTTTCTCGCAAGAGTTGTTTCGTTCGAACAATCCCTTGATGACCTTCATGGGCTAATTGGAGTGTGGCTGGTCGTAGACTTTCTGGAACAACAATGCATGATCTGCAAAGAAGTAAGGACCCTGTCGCCGTCAGTTCGTTTTAATGCTAAAATAGGGTCCGGATTCCCGGCTCTTTTGCCATTTGCCTGAGACAACTGATTGGTGGACTTGCTGTAGGACAGAGTCTTCTGCAGTGGCCTGCTCAAGTTGGGTAAGGGTCATTGCTTTGGGAACCGCGTTGCGGGTGATGTAATGTACGTACTCTTGTGCAATATTTCGTTCGCGGTGTGCGGCACTCGACAAAGGAAGACAAGACAACACGTCAGCGGGATTGGTGGCGCCAGGAGAATACTGCGGATGGAATGTGTATGGCTGGAGGCGTAATCTCCAGCGCTCTATTCTTGCTGAGGGTTTGGAGGTGGCGCTGAAGATAACCTCAAGCGGTTTGTGATCAGTAAGCAGGGCAAAGGTGGTTCCATATAAGTACAAGTGGAACTTTTCACAGCCCCAGACGACTGCCAGGGCCTCACGTTCCGTCTGAGAATAACGTCGTTCCACCACTGTGAGCGTTCGACTGGCATAGGCGATGGGTCTGACCACACCTTGTTGTGTTTGGGTCAAGATAGCCCCCAGACCAACAGGGCTAGCATTGACACGTAGCTGGGTAGGGGCGGCCGGGTCATAGTGGGCCATAACACAGTCACTTGTTAGTATTGTCCTGAGTTTGTCAAATGAAGACAGATGAATATCGGTCCAGTGCCAGGGCACCTCCTTACGGGTTAGCTTGGAAAGGAGGTAAGCAATGGTGGAAAAAATCTGGAATGAATCTTCGACAAAAACTAGCTAGGCCCAGAAAACTGCGAACTTCGGAAGCGTTTTTTGGTGTTGGAGCATTTCGTATAGCTTCAACTGACTGGTTGTTCGGCCGAATGCCACGAGCGGAGATGTCAAAGCCAAAGAATGTAAACTCAGGAGCACTAAACAGGCATTTTTCACCATTTAATGTAAGTCCTCTTTCTTGCAATCGACTAAGTACACCATGGAGATTTCTGTCATGTTCTTCTTTGTCCTTTCCGAAAACTATTAATGTCATCTGAAATGTTTTTGACTCCAGGTAGCCCATGTAAAACTTGTTGAATTGCATGTTGATAGATTTCAGGAGCTGCAGATACAGCTGATTCAATTAAGTTTGTGACAAGCAAAAGCAACTGACATCTCAAAGTCAGCACACATGTCCTTATCAATACGTCACTGTACCGAAGAGTATGAAATAAGAGAGGACTTTATTGGTATTTATGAATGCAGGGAGGGTGTAACAACAGATGCTCTGTGTGAGTACATCAAAGATATTTTAATGAGGTGTCAACTGGATTTCATAAGATTAGTTGGAATGACATTTGATGGTGCAATGACCATGAAATCTTTGGGAAAGAAAATCAAAAGTGAAATGAACGAATCAGCTATTTTCATTCACTGTTTAGCACATTGCCAAGAACTAATCTTCAAAGATGCCACTAAGCATTGCCCAGCATTGGAGGATGCTCAAGCACTATGTAAAGATCTGTATGTCATCGTAGGGATCAGCCCTAAACGTGTGGCCCTATTTACCAAGATCCAGGATGAGAGTGACAGTGATGATGTGTTGCGTCTCCAGAACCTCTCAAAGACTAGGTGGACAACAATAGGGGCTGCAGCAAGTGTTATAACTTTAAAGCATGCGGAACTATTAGCAACGTTAAAGATGATTTCCGAGGATAAAAATACTGATAGCAAATGCAAAGTCAAAGCGAAGGGGCTTATCACAAAACTGGAAACCGCCAAGCACATGTTTAATATGGAGATCTTGCGCATATTCTGGAAAAGAACTCAAAAAATCTACAAAAAAATGATGTCACAGCAGAAGAAGCAATGGACTGCATCAACAAGATTGAAATAAGGCTTGCGGAGATGAGATCCAGTGCTGAAGGATTTGAAAAGGTAGACAACGCCAACCAATGAAAGACAGCTAGTAAAATATATGTTCAAAGTTCAAACTGTTACCAATATCCAGTCATTGCAGTGTATTTAATATATACTTTTCATTTTCTAGCTCATTAAAAAGTTGAAGATTTGAAGCTACGAATTGATGTGACTAATGAAAAGAGACCAAGAAAGGCACCAAAAAGAATCGCAGACTTTATCGCTTATGATGTGGCACCCAGTGGACAGGATTCCAATGACTTAAGACAGAACTCAAGCGTGTATATATCTGTGCGATTGACAGCATCTCGAGTTCGATGAAGGAAAGATTTGATCAAAATGACATTAAAACAGTCAAGGATATCAACGGAATGCTAATCTCATGTGCTAACAACGAGGTCGATGTCACCACTGAATATGTCACTAGGCAACTTGGCGTCGCCGCAAAATTTTTGCAAGTCAATCTTTTGGTTGAAGAATTGAAAGACCTACATGTCCACGTCAATTTGTACAACATGGAACTGAAACTGGAATCCATGCCTATCATTAAAAAGGTTACTGCTATCTCAACCATCCAAGGTGTGATGAATACAAAGCCTGTCTCGAAAGCTTTACTTCCTGAGACGCATAAGCTGTTAATTCTCCTGTCCACCTATGCAATGTCGTCTGCAACTGCGGAAAGGACATTCAGTGTTATGAGATGCATCAACACCTGGCTCAGATCACGACTGTGTCCTCGAATGCTTACAAATTGCATGTTTGCAGCAACTCACAAGCAAAGAATTGACGACATTAGCGCAAAGAAGTTAACAGCAGACTTTATTTCAAGGTCATCTCAAAGGAAAGGCTACTTTAGACAACCACTTTAAACTATTTTGCAAAAAAGTCGAAGTGAATACGACATACTTAGTGCATGGCAAAACAATGTGCCTCAATATATAGTGGTAGTTTTCTGTTCGAAATTAATAAAAGTTTTCTTGTTTATTGAATTCTACATGTCTTAGTTCATTGGTTAGGGCTAATTAAGTGCGTTTTCATTTTTGTTTGTGCCCTTTTGTCCAAAAATATGCCCTTTTAATAACAAATTGCACCCCTTGCCCTCAATAACTTCCGGCATCCCTGACTGCTGGTCTAATATTCTGTTGGTTGCTTTGTCAATCCCTTCTGAACATTCTTGCTCAATTTGAAATCTAGCAAATCAATATTAAAGAATTCAACTTTCAAAATCTGACACCTTATATAAAGGAAAAATTGTTATTTTGGACAATTGTTTTGAATTTTTTTGAACTCAATGAAATGAATTGCTGGTGTAATATTCTTTTTTAACCTTTGTCAATCCAATTATCTGATTATCATAGGCAGTGTAAGACAACTGAATTGTTAAAAGAAAAGGAAAAGATATCTCAGCTTCTTAGTGATGAAGAATGTAGAAATAATAGACTACGACAAGAGGGACTAGAGGCCCATTTTGGAACACTAAAAGCACTCTTTCGACAAGGTTTAGCGATTCGACGCCAGGAAGATAAAGAAGGCAATGTCTACCAGTTTAATAAAGACAAGAGTCAACATATCCCAGGGCTAAAACTACTAATAAAAGAGAACAGGTTTGTGTCTCACAGCTTGCTTGGAGAGCAACAGGAAATGCTTGTTCTTGAGGCTAGACGAGCACTGAACATGGAGCTCCAAAGAGTCAAATACTATGTCATAATAGTGGATGAAGCCACTGACATCTCAAAGTCAGAACACATGTCCTTATCAATACGTCACTGTACTGAAGAGTATGAAATAAGAGAGGACTTTATTGGTATTTATGAATGCAGGGAGGGTGTAACAACAGATGCTCTGTGTGAATACATCAAAGATATCTTAATAAGGTGTCAACTGGATTTCATAAGATTAGTTGGAATGACATTTGATGGTGCAATGACCATGAAATCTCTGGCAAAGAAAATCAAAAGTGAAATGAATGAATCAGCTATTTTCATTCACTGTTTAGCACATTGCCAAGAACTAATCTTCAAAGATGCCACTAAGCATTGCCCAGCATTGGAGGATGCTCAAGCACCATGTGAAAATCTGTATGTCATCGTAGGGATCAGCCCTAAACGTGTGGCTTTATTTACCAAGATCCAGGATGAGAGTGACAGTGATGATGTGTTGCGTCTCCAGAACCTCTCAAGGACTAGGTGGACAACAAGAGGGGCTGCAGCCAGTGTTATAACTTTAAAACACGCGGAACTAATAGCAACGTTAAAGATGATTTCCGAGGATAAAAATACTGATAGCAAATGCAAAGCCAAAGCGAAGGGGCTTATCACAAAACTGGAAACCGCCAAGCACATGTTTAATATGTTTTTTATGAGAGATCTTGCGCATATTCTGGAAAAGAACTAAAAAAATCTACAAAAAATGATGTCACAGCAGAAGAAGCAATGGACTGCATCAACAAGATTGAAATAAGGCTTGCGGAGATGAGATCCAGTGCTGAAGGATTTGAAAAGGTAGACAACGCCAACCAATAAAAGACAGCTAGTAAAATATGTGTTCAAAGTTCAAACTGTTACCAATATCCAGTCATTGCAGTGTATTTAATATATACTTTTTATTTTCTAGCAGATTAAGAAAGTTGAAGATTTGAAGCTACGAATTGATGTGACTAATGAAAACAGACCAAGAAAGGCACCAAAAAGAATCGCAGACTTTATCGCTTATGATGTGGCACCCAGTGGACAGGATTCCAATGACTTAAGACGGAACTCAAACGTGTATATATCTGTGCGATTGACAGCATCTTGAGTTCGATGAAGGAAAGGTTTGATCAAAATGACATTAAAACAGTCAAGGATATCAACCGAATGCTAATCTCATGTGCTAACAACGAGGTCGATGTCACCACTGAATATGTCACTAGGCAACTTGGCGTCGCCGCAAAATTTTTGCAAGTCGATCTTTTGGTTGAAGAATTGAAAGACCTACATGTCCACGTCAATTTGTACAACATGGAACTGAAACTGGAATCCATGCCTATCATTAAAAAGGTTACTGCTATCTCAACCATCCAAGGTGTGTTGAATACAAAGCCTGTCTCGAAAGCTTTACTTCCTGAGACGCATAAGCTGTTAATTCTCCTGTCCACCTATGCAATGTCGTCTGCAACTGCGGAAAGGACATTCAGTGTTATGAGATGCATCAACACCTGGCTCAGATCACGACTGTGTCCTCGAATGCTTACAAATTGCATGTTTGCAGCAACTCACAAGCAAAGAATTGACAACATTAGCGCAAAGAAGTTAACAGCAGACTTTATTTCAAGGTCATCTCAAAGGAAAGGCTACTTTAGACAACCACTTTAAACTATTTTGCCAAAAAGTCGAAGTGAATACGACATACTTAATGCATGGCAAAACAATGTGCCTCAATATATAGTGGTAGTTTTCTGTTCGAAATTAATAAAAGTTTTCTTGTTTATTGAATTCTACATGTCTTAGTTCATTGGTTAGGGCTAATTAAGTGCATTTTCATTTTTGTTTTTGCCCTTTTGTCCAAAAATATGCCCTTTTAATAACAAATTGCAACCCTTACCCTGAATAACTTCCGGCATCCCTGACTGCTGGTCTAATATTCTGTTGTATGCTTTGTCAATCCCTTCTGAACATTCTTGATCAATTTGAAATCTAGCAAATCAATATTAAAGAATTTAACTTTCAAAATCTGACACCTCATATAAGGGAAAAATTGCTATTTTGGACAATTGTTTTGAATTTTTTTTAACTCAATGAAATGAATTGCTGGTGTAATATTCTGTTGTATCCTTTGTCAATCCCTTTTGAACATTCATACTGAATTTCAAGTCTAGCAAATCAATATTAAAGAATTTAGCTTTCAAAATCTGACATCTCATATAAGGGAAAAATTGCTATTTTGGACAATTGGTTTCAAATTTTTTGACCTGAATGAAATGAACTGCTGGTGTAATATTCTGTTGTATCCTTTGTCAATCCATTTTGAACATTCATACTGAATTTGAAGTCTAGCAAATCAATATTAAAGAATTTAGCTTTCAATGTCTGACATCTCATATAAGGGAAAAATTGCTATTTTGGACAATTGTTTTGAACTTTTTTGAACTAAATGAAATGAATTGCTGGTCTAATATTCTGTTGTATCAAAGGTCAATACCTTCTGAACATTCTTACTGAATTTCAAGTCTAGGAAATCAATATTAAAGAATTTAGCTTTTAAAATCTTTCACCTCATATTGGGCAATAATGGCTATTTTAGACAATTGGCTTCAAATTTTTTGAACTGAATGAAATGAACTGCTGGTGTAATATTCTGATGTATCCTTTGCCAATCCCTTCTGAACATTCTTACTGAATTTCAAGTTCAGCAAATCAATATTAAAGAATTTAGCTTTCAAAATCTGACATCTCATATAAGGGAAAAATTGCTATTTTGGTTAATTGGTTTCAAATTTTTTGACCTGAATGAAATGAACTGCTGGTGTAATATTCTGTTGTATGCTTTAACAATCCCGTTTGAACATTCTTGCTCAATTTGAAATCTAGCAAATCAATATTAAAAAATTTAACTTTCAAAGTCTGACACCTCATTATAAGGGAAAAATTGCTATTTTGGACAATTGGTTTCAAATTTTTTGACCTGATTGAAATAAACTGCTGGTCTAATATTCTGCTGTATCCTTTGGCAATCCCTTCTGAACATTCTTACTGAATATCAAGTTCAGCAAATCAATATTAAAGAATTTAGTTTTCAAAATCTGACATCTCATATAAGGGAAAAATTGCTATTTTGGACTATTGGTTTCAAATTTTTTGACCTGATTGAAATAAACTGCTGGTCTAATATTCTGCTGTATCCTTTGCCAATCCCTTCTGAACAATCTTACTGAATTTCAAGTCTAGGAAATATATATTAGAGAATTTAGCTTTCAAAATCTGACATCTCATATAAGGGAAAATTGCTATTTTGGACAATCGTTTTCAAATTTTTTGAACTGAATGAAATGAGTTCCTGGTGTAATAATCTGTTGTATCCTTTGTCAATCCCTTTTGAACATTCATACTGAATTTCAAGTCTAGCAAATCAATATTAAAGAATTTAGCTTTCAATGTCTGACATCTCATATAAAGGAAAAATTAATTGCTATTTTGGACAATTGTTTTAAGATTTTTTGAACTAAATGAAATGAATTGCTGCTCTAATATTCTGTTGTATCCTTTTCCAATCCCTTCTGAACATTCTTACTGAATGTCAAGTTCAGCAAATCAATATTAAAGAATTTAGCTTTTAAAATCTTTCGCCTCATATTGCACAATAATGGCTATTTTAGACAATGGTTTTCAAATTTTTTGAACTGAATTAAATGAATTGCTGGTCTAATATCCTGTTGTATGCTTTGTCAATCTCTGCTGAACATTCTTGCTCTATTTGAAATCTAGCAAATCAATATTAAAGAATTTAGCTTTCAAAATCTGACACCTCATATAAGGGAAAAATTGCTATTAGTTAACATGCACCGAAGGACTTATAACCTCATTAACGAACGAAACTTACGTTAAGATCATTGTTCCCTATTGGCTGGGACTGCCAAATTCGTTCGTTACCGTAAAATGCCAGGCCCTCATTGGTTGAACGTTTAGTGTCAGGTATATGATATATTCATAATCCAAAATAAGTTTGCAGTTTTGCATAAGTTCTTTCAACGCAAGTTGAATGCTTAAAATATATTCTAATCTTAAAACGCCTTTAAGCATAGTTTACACTTGTCTGGGATTCCCTTTGGGCTTTGTCCTCAGACAAAGTTGACCGCTGGTGTGCAAAATGCTTTTCTGAGACTATCGGAAAGTAATACAATGGATCCCCGATTCTTAGGAGCCAGTGTGATCCAGGCCTTACACTGATCGATCATTATATATAGCTTATGCATGTGCATTCAAGTTCATTTGACATTATGTAGACCCTAAAATTCGCTCGACGTTATGGATTACCCTGCGTCCTCTCATTGAAGGCAGTAAATATTTTAGTTATATAATAGAAGTTCATCTATTCTCGCAGCTTGGTAATTTCAACTAAATAAATGTTTGTTTGTAAAAGACTGCTTTATATTTCCATATTTATTGTGCTGAGAGAGCATGTCCCAAAGGACTAATAGTCTTGATTTATCTTATGACATGAAAATTTACACCGGCATTGCATGCGAGTTATAATTGTTTTCTAACATTTCACAATGTTGTGCTTGTTTCGCGACCATCATATAAAAATTAATAGTGTCAGGTGCAGGTATATGGGATGCTTTTTCGACAATCCTATCATTGTATCGTTGAAAACCAATAATATAAAACAATAAAAGATATATTTTCTAACAATCACTCTGACTTATACTACCATGCTTTTTTCTTTCCTTCCTTTCTCTCCCCCAACTCCCATGCGTTCTCCCTTCATCCCTTATCCATAGGTGTCCCTCACCGTCCATAACTTCAACTTATATACTATTGTTAGTATAACCTTAACAGCACAAACACCTCCCCCATTTAGTATAAAAGAAGGTCGAGTTTATCAACAAAAATTGTTTATGAAACCATGTCTTTCCATTGTTCCTAACTAGGAAAAGTAAGTACAAAATCTTTCAACCGCCCGGGTACACGCCGTTCTCTTGACGGCCGTCTCTCTGTCGCTTCTTCGCGATGACTTTCGCAGTTTTGATTCTTTGGAGCTTCTTCACTACCTCCGTTCTGCGTTTTGACTATCTTTCGGACGAACGACACATTCCGCATGATGCACGGTTCATTTCCGCGTTTTATTATTATGCTTGTGCCTTTCTTCTTTATTACTGTGTATGGTTGGGGATCATACGTCGAGGACAACTTGTTCTTGTTTAGTTCTTTCAAAAGTACGATATCTCCCTCCTTTATCATAGAGGGGACGGCGTGTTGGGTCTTGTCTGCGTACTCTTTTGCGCGTTGCTTGTGAGCAGAGTCGTGTTCGCGAGCAGTCTCTAATGTTTGGCATGGCGGTTGGATGTTGATTTGAGGCAACTTCGTCTTGATAGTTCGACCAAACAACAGCTCAGCAGGAGATATTCCAGTGGAAATATGAGGTGTGGCTCTGTATATCATTAGAAACTTCGGCAGTTCGGCTTTCTAATTGCGACCTTCGGCGTGAGCGGCTTTGAGGGCCTTTCCGAGGGTTTTGTTAAATCTCTCAACAGTAGCATTTGCAGCAGGCCAATAAGGTTTTATGAGACGGTGTTTAATTCCACACACTTGCAAGAATGACTTGAACTCGTGAGAAATAAACTGAGGCCCATTGTCGGAGACCATGGCTTCGGGGTAGCCAAATTGGGAAAATATGTGTTCTAACCGATTGATGAT